CCAGCCCTGTATTTAGTCCATTTTTGCTTGTTCCCTAAATTTTACTAATTCTATTTGTAAATATTACTCCTCTCCTCCCCCAAAAAGAAACACAACTTACTTAGAAGATGTTTGTATATGGTACTTTTATATCACAAGTGTTGTATTTTTCTGATTTGCTACCATGTCAGTGAAGTTTTATAGCCCTTTGGACTTCATGTTTAGCTCATGAGCTTTATTGAGTTTCATACTTTAGTACTTCACTGATTCACCCACATAATCTATTCTGCCAGCTGCAAACTCATTTATTTCAATGGTTGAGTAGCATGTTGCAGTGATTAGTTTCCCATGCTGCTAAAAATGAATAATATCATAACACGTCAATGGAAACTTTAGCAAGTGAACTATGCACTCTTCTCACCAATATTTGTTTAGCAGTTTCTAGTATTACTTTTCTGGATTCAGTTACCTTATTTCAGTGTATTCAAAGATTGAAAACATCAGTTTGGAAAGGTGCCTCATTTGCTCTATGCAACTAAGATGCAATTAGTTCCTTTACTAATTGCATGTTTTCCCCAAAGCTTTATGTATACCTAAAACTGTGTTTATATATACACCTAAAATTCTCTATACCTCCTTAAATTTTATAAAACTATTACCATATTTGCCTCTTCTTGCAAATTGTCTCCCCCCTCAAAATATTACAGTAATATGAAAGATAGAAAAATACTGAAGAGTGACTAGAATGCTTTCTAAGCCTTGGTCTACTGTACATCTTTATTTTGAAATAACCCCCCTTAGATCAAATTTATAAGTGGAGGGTCCACACTACCAAGCCCGTTCTTTCAAAATAAGGGGCTGCTTATTTCGAAATCCGAACTCCTGCTTTGCTCGGGGAAGAATGCTAATTTCAAAACAGTTATTTCGAAATAACTACTCCCCAGAGAGATTTGAACTTATGACTCCCCAGTGCTTCCTGGGGCTCTAAGGCTCCACATTAATGGAGCCTGCCTCTAAGTAATTTCGAGGCTTCTCTATAGTAGGGACATGCAATTTTGATTTTGTAAAATTGGGAGTTAAGTTGAATTTAGTTATTTCAAAATACAGTAAAACTCCATTGGTCCGGTATCTGACGGTCCGGCACTCCTGATGGTCCGGCACCATCAGGAACCCGGAAGTGCTCTGCAGCCGGACCATTGGAGCTGCTCTGCCCCCAGCTTCCCCTATTCAGCTTAAAGAAGTTTGAAGAAATACACAAAACAGTAAAAATGAACGAAGTTGTTGAGCACTGTTAGCCTTCACAGCATGGTCCAAACTATAGAAGACCCAGCTCCTGCCCCAAAAGATTTGTCTGCATTGGACATAGCATTCTGATACTCTATGCTAGGTGACAAAGATGATCATAAGTTCTGATCTCAAAAGTGGTCTGATAACCTATCATGAGAATGTGCCTATTTGTTTTTGAAAGACTTTGTGGAAGACATGTTAAGGAATTTTAAGAGCTGATGTCAATTCAGCATGCTGGAAGGGAAAGTCTTTTCCTAAGCATCAAAGATGGAATGGCAGCTGTCATGATGAGGGTATGTTTACAGTGGCAAAGATTTTCTATCATCAGTAGGTAATCCATCTTTCAGAGGTGGTAGCTAGATTTAAGGATGTTAAATTGTGCTTAATCAACTAATTGAGTAGTCAATGGAATTTCCCTGGTCCTGGGAGCTAACTCTGCTGCAGCGCTGCCATTTAAATATACAGTAAACTTCCGATAATCCAGCACCTTTACGACCCAAGGGGTGCTGGATTATCAGATATTCCGGACTATCGGAAGGGGGAGCTATGAGGGATCTGGGATGGGGGAGATGACCACCCAGACCCCTCATAGCCCCACCTTCCGATAGTCCAGCATATCTGATAATCCGGCATCCCCTGGGTCCCAAAGGTGCTGAAGTTTACTGTAGTTTCCTAGTGTAGACATGGGTAAAATTCCTCTTTGTGTAGACCGCTCATACATCACTTGGCTCCCAACTTTAGGGCTACGTCTACACTGGCATGATTTTCCGAAAATGCTTTTAACGGAAAAGTTTTCCGTTAAAAGCATTTTTGGAAAAGCGCGTCTAGATTGGCAGGATGCTTTTTTTGCAGAAAAGTGTCCGTGGCCAATCTAGACGCGGTTTTCTGCAAAAAAGCTCCGATTGCCATTTTTGCGATCGGGGCTTTTTTGCGGAAAACAGTACTGTGCTGTCTATACTGGCCCTTTTGCGCAAAAGTCTTTCGGAAAAAGACTTCTGCCCGAACGGGAGCAGCATAGTATTTCCGGAAAAGCACTGACAATCTTACATGAGCTCATCAGTGCTTTTCTTGAAATTCAAGCTGCCAGTGTAGACAGCTGGCAAGTTTTTCCGGAAAAGCGGCTGATTTTCCGGAAAAACTTGCCAGTCTAGACACAGCCAAGGGGTATAGAGGCCTCGTGATTACTTGTAAATATTTGGATTGCACACAGCCTCATAGGGATATATATTTAGTAAAGTGAAGCCTGATTGCCAAAGCACATCTACAAAGTGTTTAAATCTTCTTACTACAATAGCTAAGTCACAGAATTATGCAACCCCCATTCCAATATTATAGAAATACTTCTGCTAAAATACGCTTGAGTAATAAAGCTTATTAGGAATCTAACCCAGTGTAATATTTCTGTGCATGCACTGCTATCTATGAAACACAGGAAAGTTTCAAGAGATGTGTTTTTATTAATGCAATATGCAAACCCAGACAGCAAGGTAGGCATTTTGGTTACAGTTCAAAGAAGAGCAACATTCATCAGTAAAATTTAACATTTAGTGAGGTCTAATTATATATGCATGTGAGCAAAATTAAATGCTTTCAGTGCACTTTCTGAATGATTGCCTAACAGATCACACACAGTTAAATCTCTGGGCAGAAAGCCAGCGTGAGACCTTACATCACTTAAGTCCTATTTTGAGTGTTTAAGTGGGACTTAAGTGATGCATAAGCCTTTTATGGATCCTTTATATAGTGGTTAGAACATGGAAGTGGGAGTTCTGGTTATTGTCTCATTGTAGCACTGTGGGCAAATCATTTAGGTCCAGCTTCACAAAGGTATTTAGGCACCTAATTCCCAATTATTTAAATGAGTGTTAGGTACCAAAGTACCTTTGTGAATTTGGGCCTTATTCCCTCTGTGCCTGAGTTTCCTTTTCTGTAAAATGGGAATAATAGTTCCCTGGCTCACCAGGAGACAGAAAATATGGCAGTAAAGGGAGTAAATATTAAAGTGTTAATGGTACCCACTGCACTGTGCTATCCAGCCAAATCTTTCAGAAGCACTAATAGATTAAGCTGAAAAGTGCCTTAGTGGACATTATTCACATTTTAACAGATGACACTGAAACAAAGTATGGTGAATTGTCCTGCATAAAGAAAGGAAGTCTGATGGAGTAGGGAACAAAAAACAGGTCTCCCGTTGTAAGTCAAATTCCTTAAACACAACTTTTCTTCCTTGATAGGAAGAAAAATGGATTGAAATACCATGTAATATTATATATTTGTTAAATGTTAACAACCAAAACATATAACCAATGTAATGCAAGTTTGTGTACTTTTATCAGTAAAGGCCAAATTAAATTAAATATTTTGTTCACTGACCAACTCAGCTCACATCTGTTAATAAGTGCAAGGGCATACAAACAAGTAGCAAGCCAGGAGGGCCACAGTTCTAGAATTTACTGAGCAGGATACATGAGAAGGAGATGGCAAGTGTGAAATTCCAGCGTTTTCATTTTGCTGAATAGAGAGAAAACTAGCTCAAGACCAGGAAGCTCATTGCAAGCCAAATGCTGCATCTGGAACGGAGGTTATGACTTAGCACTTACCCCTTGCCACTGTAAGTGTGGAGCCCTGCAAATCTGCAGCTATCTGCTTTATATCCATGGGCAGATGGGAATGCGGATATTCGTGGCTCATTTTTGTGGATACAGATACAGCTGTAGATACAACGTTTTGTATCCGCACTGGGCTCTAACCACTGATCATTCCCAGATTTCACAGGGACTCCCAGCTAGATCTTGGCCTCCATCATGCCATGACACTGGCATATGTAAGTAAGCATTTTTTTTTACAATATGATTCAAATATTTTGACAGCTTGGTTTTCTAGAACACATATTTCCTGTCTGCTTTCAAGATATTCTCATCTGGCAACCACATTGTTCAGTACCTGGACTGTAAGATGAACTATTTTAGTAGATTCTGCTAGCATTTAGGCCCTGATCCTGCAAAGACTAATATGCTTGCAGTGTGACCGGTCAGAGGGACTGCTCATGGGGGCACAATGATGTACACGCTTATGTTTTTGCAAGAGGCGAGATTTTGTAGCCATGCTTTTCCTCTGGAGGTCACAGGCAAATGTAATTAAGTTTATTACAAAATTCCCAAACAAAAGTATTTACTAAATTGAAAACCTAACAAATTCATTATGATTGCAACATTTATAGTGCAATATTAAAAAGCAAAGACATATTTATCTTAATCTGTTCTAGAGATTTATGCATCTGTCCATGTGTCTGAGTTCATTTGTTCAAGAACTCCTAAACGGGAAGAGTTAAGACCAGCAAATTTGGTATGCAGCTTCTTTGTCTTCCCCCACTGATAGCCCATCCTCAACCTTCATTCTCACCCCCTCCACCACTGCTTTGTGCACTGTTCCCCTCTCCCACCCATCCTGAAGGCCCTGTCCTGACTCCTGTATCCCTCAAATCATCAGCTTCTCGCTCTGAAGAACCCAGGCAATGCTGTGTAAGTCTTCTAGTTTTATTATATTGCAGTATTGACTTTGAATTGTTGCCTATATTCAGAATGTATAACAGTAAAATATTAACTCTTGATTACACCCACTAACTGAGATGATTGAAACCCAGATTGAAAAGACAACTTGATTCAAGGACAGTAGAAAGCTTAAATAAAGAGGCACTACAAACTTGAAATCTTGTCAGTTTAAAAAAAAAAAAAAAAGTTAAGGATAGGCTGAGAAACAGAAGCTAGTCGAGACCTGCTGCCAGTTTTGGTGCTTCATAGACAGGAGCAGCCTGAGGCGGGCTGTGGCAGCTGGCACCCCAGGCAGAACGCGTAATCAGCGCCCCCGCCTGCACGTCCGTCAATGGAGTGATGACATCATCGGGCGCCCTGGGCACCAAATGATGTCATAATTGGGCGCCTGGCGCCCCGCTGAAGGCAGCACCCTAGGCGATGGCCAAGTTGGCCTATAGTCATGGGCCGCCCCTGTTCATAGAAAATGTTAAAATGTTTCTCCCCTCTGTTGATTTCTGGAAAAAAGTCACACAAATATTAGGGCAGGTGACTAAAGTTGTTGTGAAAGTAACACCATGAAACTGACTATACACAAAGTGCTTAAATCCATAAAGAAAACAAGACAAAGCAATAGGGGAATTAAAAAAAAAAACTCTCTCATTTTCAGTTAGATGTTACTTGTAACCATAGCAGGTAAGCCATTTTCAGACAGAAGAGGGATTTTTAATTTAACAACAATTATATTTGTAAACTGCTCTGAGTTACTTCAGAGAAAGTTGCTATAGAAACACAAAATACTGAGCCAGTGCACCCCCTAATAGCATAATCTCCTTCCATAACTTGTAAAAGGTTAAAAACAAACAGAAACAAACACCACCTAATTTCCTTATCTGTAAAGAGTCATGCTCTTTGTCCTTGCTTTGACATAGCGTCTGCATATATCTGATTTGATTTCCATTTTGTATCCCCCCCAAGGCCGGCTCAAGCCATTCCTGAGCTGCGGGTGCGCGATGCATGCATGGCTCCATCCCCGGGCACAGGGCACATGCACGGCTCCACCCCCGGCACACCTTACAGCTGCAATTGGGCACACAGTGGCCGACTGCAGGTCTAAGGGGCGCCGTGCGGCCCCTTGCCCCAGGCACATGGCACCTGATGGCAGCTCTAAGGGGTGCTGCGCGGCCGGGTGTGCAACACCCCTTACAGCTGCCATCAAGCGCCCCCCCATAGGTTGGCGCCCCCTAATCCGGCCCTGATCCCCCGTACCATTTAGTCAGTGAGGATAGATAGCCGTGACACCCCTTTCGTCTCTTGCTCTGACATATGCCTTCAGGCTTTCTTCCCTGCTGCCCTGGCCTGTCGGAAAGCCCTTCCGCCATCTCCTAGTTCCCTCCATCCTCTCAGGATTCAAACTGCTCCTGAAAAGCTCACTTCTGCTTTATCACCTATAAAAAACACAAGTGTTCCATTTGAAATCATTGTATGTAAACCACCAAGGATTATGCTGTCTGCCTCAAGTGAGTCACCACCCAGTCATATATCAGAAACATGCCACCTCCCTTTCCTCCCCACTCTCTTGGTTTTTCACTTCTCTGTATATACTCCTCTGAGACTTCTCGGTCTGTATCCAGGCCTGGCTTTTGGGCAAGGTGGTCGCCGTGGGCCCCGCATATTCAGGGCCCTGCAGCTCCACGCACTCAGGGCCCTGCGCTGCCCAGCTCCTGCCCCTGCCCACCCCACACACGCTTTGGCCAGGCCTGTCTGTGTCTCTCTGTATAGTTCATCTTAAGGTCTCAATATTGCAAGTTGTTCTGCATGGGTGACTACCAATGAAGAGCCCTATTGACTTCTGTGAGGCTCTGTCATGGTTGTTCTCCACTCTGGCATTACAAATGCAGAAGGGGTGTGTGTGTGGGTGTGGGTGTGTGTGTGTGTGGAGGGAGGGAGGGAGGGGGAAGAGAGGGAGGAGGAGGAGGGAAGCGAGCAGAATAAACACAGCAAAACCTGTCTCTGTGATTCCTAGAGACAAATTTACTCAATCTTAGTCCCCCTGTGATCCAAAAAAAGACAAGACTAGTTCCGTGCTACTACCTCCCAAGTGATTAAAAGAAAATATAAAATAAAAACCCTTTTCCAGGGAAGAGATCATTTGGGAATCTCCTCCCGAAGGTAAAGCTCTCCCCCTTGCCCCCAATCTCTGTTTTGCTTGGAGTTGGGAAAACAAACAGGGAATCCACAGAGAACAATGGACTCTGCCCTTGTAACTAGGCACTTAATCCTAAGGATACAACAATTAACCAATGCTGGTTAATCAAAATAAAAAGAAAACTCTTTTATTATCGAAGCAAAACTACCATTGCAAGCATAGTAAATTGATCAGGTGGTAAGTAGCCATAATTGACACAGATTCAGGGAAAGTCCCTGGGTTGTAATCCTTAATTACAAAAGAGAAAAACAATTAGCCAGCTCAGACATGATTTCCAAACAAGGAACAGACCCTGATGAACTATCTAAACTTTTCCCTACTTACACAATTCAAGAAGTCCATTCTTGGAGAGAGAAAGCATCTCTCCCTCAATACCTGGGAGAAACTGCTCTGCTCTTAAACAAAAAAGAGAGAGAGGGAAAACCCCCCTGTCCCAGTTTGAAATTCCTACCTGCATTTTTATTGGCTGACTGCCCGAACCCTCCTCCCTCTCCCCTCCCCTTGCTAGGTACCTGAGTTAACGCCTTAGTCACCAGGTGCTGGTCAGCACTCCTGTTCATGACAGGCTCCCTGGAGGGGAAGTGTCTGCTATGTCTCATTGCCCAGGGTACAATCTGGACTGTTGAACAGCTGTGTACCCTGAATTCTCTAACCTGGGTACTTTTTACACTGCTGTGTTGTCAGAACATCCACTCCTGACTTGCACATACAGCCTTCAATGTGCAAATTCATTTCCAGCTAAATACATGGGCCTCTAATGACCAGTCACTTGTGAATTACACATACGGCAAGAGCCACAAATTCTTAGGCCCAGCCTTGTTGCCCCACAAAAATGTGCACCCTGTACTGTCCAGCACATTACTAAACAATGCAAGCTCATAAAAAGTCCATCATTTCATCAAAGGAAAATAATGCACCAGCCTTTTTATCCCTAATAGGGGGTCCCCACACACTTTTCAAATATTCCTTTGTACAACATTTTTCTTAGTTTGATAAAGGTATAATAGTACAGACCTGTCATGCTTACATCCTCACCTGGAATAACATGGGGGATCTCAGTCTAAGGCTGATGCTTAATGTTAAGCACCTGAGCAGTTCCACTGAACTCAATAGAATTATTAAATTAAACATGAGCATAAGAGTTGTTAGGATTAGAGCCTAAGATTTGTAACCTCTTTGGGATCTGTATTTATTTGTGTTCAGTGAAGCATCTGTTCACACTCATGGGGGCTTATAAAATGCGGCCCCTACAGTGAGCATCAGAGAGGTCAATGGGGCTCTGCACTCAGATGTGCTCTTGCAGAACAACTTGCAATATCCAGATCTTAATGATGATATATACAGAGAAATGAGAAATAAAATAAATATTTCAGCTGGATCATGATTTACTTTGCCTTGTAGTCTTTCTTTATTGGGATTGAATAGTTATATAGAAGTAGTGCTCAGAGATCCCCAGAGAGACCGTGATTCCCTTGTGCTAGGTGCTACACTATTATACAACACAGCACGATTCCTGTTCCAGAGTCAGTGACCTCAGTCCTATAATGAACTTTGCACATCTGTGCCCAGGAGGAGTCCCTCTGCAACAATGGGGTCCCAGTAGGCACAGGCATCTAGCCTCTTGAAGCTCATTGCAGGACTGCTGCCCCCGGGGAATGAGAGACACACAGGGCTCGTCTACACTGGCCCCTTTTCCGGAAGGGGCATGTAAATTTCACCAGTCGTCGTAGGGAAATCCGCGGGGGATTTAAATATCCCCCGCGGCATTTAAATAAAAATGTCCGCCGCTTTTTTCCGGCTTTTAAAAAAGCCGGAAAAGAGCGTCTACACTGGCCCCGATCCTCCGGAAAAAGTGCCCTTTTCCGGAGGGTCTTATTTGGATCGGGGCCAGTGTAGACGCTCTTTTCCGGCTTTTTTAAAAGCCGGAAAAAAGCGGCGGACATTTTTATTTAAATGCCGCGGGGGATATTTAAATCCCCCGCGGATTTCCCTACGACGACTGGTGAAATTTACATGCCCCTTCCGGAAAAGGGGCCAGTGTAGACGTAGCCACAGAGTGGGAGAGAGGACAATAACATATACACTGTTTAAGAGGCAGGGGGGGCCTAATAGGCCAGGTACTGCCTTGGGGAATCTGAGTTTTGGGACAGACCCTCAACTAGTGGACGCTGCCATTGCTCCCTTGTGGGACAACTGACACCCACTGAGGTGCTGCTCGAAGCTGGATTCCCAATTCTTCCACCCACTTTGGGCAAAGGCACACACCTCCGTGCCTGCCACCGCCTCTCCAGCCCTGGGGCTTGTCTCTTGCCATGCCCAGCAGGGCTGGCCCGTCCGCGGGTGTGCCCTGCGATGCCTAGCTCTCAGCAGGGCTTCCCAGCTCCTGTCTCACACATGCTGCAAGTAACTTAACTTTTCCTACAGTTACTGTCCTGTTGCCACCAGGATCCGTGCCAGCTCTCCCAGTGGCTCCCTGCTGCCGTCTGTAGTTCCGCCAGCTCCCCCGGAGCTGCGCACCAGGGCGCACCGCTTCCTTTCACCTCCGCACGACACCGCATGTGAACCACGGCACGTTTGCACTGTGGACCCGCTTCCCCCCCTGCTCTTGGCGCTACGGGCAGCCCGAGCAGTGGCGGCCCCCCTGGATCTTTGCATTGCGCTGGTCGGGCGAATTCGGGGCTCCCGCGCACGAGCGGCGTGGCCGTGTCTCGGCCCCAGGCTCGCAGCGCACGTGTGGGGCTGACACTGGCCCGCTCTCCTTAACACCCCCCCCCCCCCCGCAAGGCTCATCAGCATGGGGGGGGGGGTATAGGCTGTAGGAGGGAGCCCGCTGGCCGCCCGAGGGGGCTTCCCTGGACTTCCACGCCAGGGCAGGGCGCTGTGACAGGCTGGGAAGCGGCCGATCCGTGCCGCTCCCAGCCCGCCCCTTTCCCGGCGTGTGGGGCTCGCACCCGCCCGGCCGGCCCTCCCCCTAGCGCCCTGCCTTCCTCCGCTGGCTGAGGCAGCGCGGGCTGCTGCTTCCCTGCCGCTCCTGCCCCCGGGGCTCTGCCAGCTGGTGGCCCTCTCCTCCGCCTGCCCAGCCCAGCCCGCCAGATGTCCTCGGCCCCCGTCCGCTCCCCCACGCTGCGGCCCCACAGGATGAAGAAGGACGAGTCTTTCCTGGGCAAGCTAGGCGGGACGCTGGCGAGGAAGAAGAAGGCGAAGGAGGGTGAGGCTGCCCGCGCGGGGAGTCGGAGCAAAGTGACTTGCAGCGGCTGCCCCCCGGCCAGGGGACATGTGGGAGGGAGGGAAACTTGGGAGCCCCCCTTGTGGGACTCCCATGGGCCCGGAGGCAGCTGAGCCTGGGCTGGGGTGTGGCCGGGTTTGGCCCTCAGGGCTGGGAGACTTTAGGGATCCGAGCAGCCGCGCTGGCTGTGCAGGAGGGGAGGCGCCCGGGCAGCCCGATCAGCTCCGCGTGGCTGCGAGGGCACCGCTCATTAAATGACGTAAAGCTCATTCCCCGTTTCGCCGGCGCCAGGCTGCAGGGTAGTGCACAAATATAAACAGTGGCGGGGGGGGAGTCGCCTCGAGCTGGCTGCCTGCTGGGCCCATCCCCGTTGCTCCTTGCTGTGGGCTGCTCTTCCTTTGTGGACTCCCTCTTCGCTTAGGCAGGAGGGACAATTTTCACTGTTTCTGTGGAGTTTTACTTTCCATCGCCCCTGATGTTCTTGTACCTGAACTGTCAGGGGGATAACCCTAACGCTTTTTTCTGTTGGAAAAGGACAGAGTCTGGAAAATGCCAGGGGCCACTGTTTCAGCACAATGCTGGGGAGTTTGGGTTGGAAACACTGCAAGAGACCCATTTAAAGCCAGTCAGTTTTTCTGGGCTGGGGTTCTACATGCTGTTTTGTTACAGGTATATCTGTTTTGGGTGGGTGTGTGGGGGGAGAATGACTTTTGGAATCCCTTCCCGCACTATAGTGAGTGTCTGCACTAGGGGTGTGAGCCTGAGATCATCTGCTAACTTTTATAGTTACAGGCAGAGACATCCTCTCCCACATGCTGCTACCTGTTCTTTTAAGCAGGCTCCCTGTGAGCACCAGCACCAGAGGCAGCAATGCAGAGTGGGGAGGGGGGAGCAGGTGGCTCCGTGGGAGCCCCCTCTGCCCATTTGTAAATGTGTACCTGCTGAAAATTTCAGCAGGTACACATTTACCCAAATAAATACATTTTAACATTCCTAGTCTACACCAGGGCAGGCAAGGTGCTGGCCGGTCAAGCCACTGTATCGGGCCTGTGGGCACGTCCTCAGGCAGGAAGCAGCCCCACACCACTTTAAGCTCTCTGTGGTGCTCTCTGTTCCAGATGCCTGGGGTAGGGAGAGGCTTCGTACACTGCCCCTGCCCTCAGCAAAATTTTTTGGCTCAACTGGCTGATAGGAGTGGAGAAATTATGATGGAGGCGGAAGCAGGGTATGAAGCCTTCCTCCACACCTCAGTGCCTGGGGCAGAGAGCCACAGGGGAGCAGCCTGGAGCTTCTGGGAGGCAAGGAGCCTGCTTCAGGGTCCTGCAGGGCTGCCGGCTGGGAGCCTCCGACATAAGCACCTCTCAACCAAAGCCTGCCTCTCGTGGCATCCCAACCCCCTGCCCTAGTCTCCACTCAAATCCTCTGCATCTTCACTCCATGTCACAACTCCCTCCAAGACTCTGCATCCCCTCCTACAGTCCTCACTCAGGCCAGAATCCGATCCTGCACCTATATTCCCTTCTGGATCCTGTACCCCAATCCCTTGTCCCAGATCACAATCCCCTCCTTTACCCAAACTCCCTCTCAGACCTCACACCCACTCCTGCAACCCAGTTCCCTGCTCCCAGCTCCTATCTGCATACAACTTCCATCCCAGATCCTGTACCCCTTTCATAGAAAAGTGTGGCCCAGGACCACTTAAGAAATCTTGGTGTGGCCTCACCATTGAAAATTATTGCCCATCTCTGATCAACATTGAAGTGCTACCATGGTGTAGCTGCAGTGTTGTAGTTATGCCATTGTGGTCATTTACAGTTATACTAAGCGAGGTCTACACTGTATAGTTTTTTGGCATAGCTATTTTGGTTATTTATCAGTATAGTTTATTTCTCTTGGAGTGAAGGGAAACTGGAATAAACTATGCCGGTTAAAATCACAGTTTTGCTGGTATAAATTGCATATATGCTAAGGCCTGGTCTATACTAAAAAGTCAGGTTGGCTTAATTATATCAGTCACAGCTGGAAAAAATCTGCACTTCTGAACAGTGTATCTTGGTTAGCTTAAGTCCCCCTCCATTGACAGAAGGATTTTTCATCCACCTAGCTATTGCCTCTTAGGGAGGTTAATTACCTATGCTGACAGATTAACCCCTCCCATCAGCACAGCTGCCCCCCTGTAGCATTTTAACTGTAGACAGGCCCTCCGGGTAGTTATACTGCTTAAACTATACCAGTACGTTAAAATTATGCAACTTTTGTGTAAATAAGAAGATACTGCAGTTAGATTTTGTAGCGCTAGTTTTAATTCTTTATAAACTAAACTTAATCCTCCCCAAAACTACTTGCCAATGTCCCTTTTAAGGATAACTCACTTTCTTGCCCTCTGATTCTTTGACTCTGAATGCATGGTGAGTCCTACACAGGAAGTATCCCTCATCATCATCATCCTTACTCATAAACAATTGACATCTGGTAGCAGGAAACCTGAGTGTTATTTCTTTATGTTTGAATCTAATTTTGACCTTGCTGATCAGAGACATTTTTGGTTTGGTCTCTAGATTAAGATTGTGGGTGAGGGAGAAGAGATAAGTCACTTCATTTGAAGCTCCTTTCAATTGGCTATTGAAATTGTGTGTTTTAATTACACTTAATTACCCTATGAACAGCAGTTAACTTCTACAGTAAAACACCGGGTTGTTCAGCATCCCATGGTCCGGCACTCCTGATAGTCCGGCATCAACTGGAATCCAGAAGTGCTCTGGCCAGCCAGACAATTGGAGCTGTTCTGCCCCCAACTTTCCCAAGTCCGACACTGGTCACTTTCAGCAGCGGCGGACTTAAAGAAGCCGGGGCAAAGCAGATGGGGTGCTGCCGGGTTGGTCCCGCAGCTTCGCCCCTCACCTGAGCAGTCCTGCAGGACCAATCTGGCAGCACTCCAGCTGTTCTGCCCCTGGCTTCCCCAAATCCGCTGCTGCTGAAACTGATGAGCGGCGGACTTGGGGATACCGGGGGCAGAGCAGCTGGAGTGCTGCCCACATTACCCAGTTCCCTGCTGACCGTTTCCCCCCCCACCCCCGATCCCTCATAGCGCCCCTTCCGGTACTCTGGCATATCCAATAATCCAGCACCCCCTGGGTCCCAAAGGTGCTGGATCATCGGAAGTTTACTGAATGGCTACGTCTAGACTGTCATGATTTTCCGCAAATGCTTTTAATGGAAAAGTTTTCCGTTAAAAGCATTTGCGGAAAAGAGCGTCTAGATTGGCACAGACGTTTTTCTGCAAAAGCACTTTTTGTGAAAAAGCGTCCGTGCCAATCTAGACGCGCTTTTCCGCAAAAAAGGCTTTTTTGCTCAAAACAAATCTGAGCTGTCTGCACTGGCTCTTTTGCGCAAAATGACTTTTGCCCAAACGGGAGCAGCATAGTATTTCTGCAAGAAGCACTGATTTCTTACATGAGATCATCAGTGTTCTTGCGGAAATTCAAGCAGTCCAGTGTAGACAGCTGGCAAGTTTTTCCACAGAAGCAGCTTGCCAGTCTAGACACAGCCTATATGGCTTTTTTTTTTATATAAATATTTGGCTTCCAAACTTGATGAAAGGATATGTTGGTAGGCCACACCAAACTGCAACCAGGGAGAAGAAAAGCAATTTCTTTGATTAGCATCCTTTTTTAAAAGTCAAAGTTCCGCAAAGTTTGGCCCACTATTCTATTTCTGAGGTAATGATTCCTCACATAGTCACAACATCCCCTGATATAAGTCAGTTTGAAAAGAATGGGATGGAGGAATCAGTCTCTGGATAGGGACCCCAAATCTTGAAATATACAACTGTTTTTGGTTGTTGAAGGTGATTCTCATGCCTCAATAGCTTGCCAGCATCCAGTGTTCATGTAAGCTGTGTGCTTGTGCGGCCGCTCAGAAGAGATTCAGATGCCGTCCAACCGATTAGCAGAGCACCCACACAGCTAAGTTTCTTGTTTCTACTGGTAGTGCACATTCACACTAGGAATGTAAAATCCCGTTTCATTGGTTAACTGCTTCAATATGATGTTTAACCAGTTAATTGATAAAAGTGGGGAAGCATGGCACTCCAGTCTGGTTGGGCCGGAGTAGCCTCTTTGTCGCAGGCAGGGACTGCTCCAGCCCAGCCAGAGCAGTCCTTGCCCGTGATGTGCCTGTCCGCACAGGCCCCACAGGGCTGGAACAGCCTCCTGCTCTTGGTGGATGGGGAACTGCTCCAGTGTTAACTGGAACTGGTAATCACCACCCAGTAAAGATGATGCTTACTGGTTAACCGGTTAATCTTTCACATCCTTAATTCACACGTGCCTCCGTGCACATAAAAATGTATTCTACACATGGATGGAAAAGATTACATGGAGCACTGCCAGCATCCCTTTTAAACAAACAATTTCCACATTGTAAGATTATGTTTTTCAAGACATCCGCTGCTGCAGTTGGTTTTAGTTGAAGTCAAACACATGTTTTGCTGAGCTTGCCTATTATTTTGCCAACTCCTGTTGTGGCCACAGCTCCCACTGGCTTTAGAATTCCTATTTTTAATTATTGTCTTTTGTATTGAGATGGAAACTGCTTGAGTTGTATTCTTCTTCTTGAGAGGAAGGAAATTCAAATTTGTGACTTTTTTCTTTTAAATGGGATGACTGGAAATTAGAAAAATATATTTCCAGATACCTATGCTGTTACCAAACAATTTGTTTATTGCAACTTACATACTGGCAGGGTCAGCATTATGACTTTGAATGCATGGAGGTTATTAACCATAAGGGGAAGTGGCTTCAATTCCTTTAGCTTCTTTTGCCTTCTTCCCTACGCCAGCCAGTCATTCCTTTCAATCTGCCAAGGCACTAATGCAGCATGTAACAAAGAGCCAAAATGAAAGCCCCAAAAATGCACATATAGAAAATTTAAACCAAATGGTGGATTTCATATCTTCAACATAAACAGCCTTCTCTCAACTC